CAGGGAAAAGAGTTCCCCACAACACATGAGGATAACACAGTGATAAACTTAGTGCTATTTCACGTCAAAAGTAAGAACAAAAGTAAAAACACTGACCTTGCAACTACGCTATAACAAAAAAAAAAAAAAAAAAAAAATTGATGCCCACTGGGAACATCTTACAACACAACCATCATATAGATATCTAAAACTGCAACACCATGACGCCAAATGCTTGCGGGTGGGTGAACATTTTATCCTCTCCATCTTTTGTGACAAGCAGCCGATCTGGGAAAAAACAGGCCACTTTTGCAGTGTAGTCAGGGAGGACTGCAATGGCCATGAGTGTGTGCACGGATCAAGATCTCCACTTAATCTTGATAAACATGTACCTTAGCATCAGTTGCTATCATGTGTTTAGCACTCTCACGTTTCCTCTGGCTATCCGGGTTTCCGGTTCCGGTGGAAGCATCTAAGTGAAGATACCCGATCCAGTTATGAAGAGAACGACAAGTGAAAAATATTTTAATGTTTAAGCACACTGGGAGTCCAAACTGACCAACTGCATCGCGGCCATTTTGTTCCCCACACATTTGACGTATTCAGAGAAGTACAAATCATCCTCATTAAATCATTTTGTGTAAAAAAAAGATCAAATTTAAGTGGCCTGCAAGGTTTCTCATCAATGAACACTCCTGTTTTAAAGGGTGTTCTTGGGTAAAAGTTACAATTATTATACTTAACCTGCTGTTGATGTGTTCCTGAACAGCATCAGTTGAAAGAAATAGAGTTCACATTCAGTAGGAATGATGAGTTTACTGCTATTGGGAGTGCAGTGAAGCAACGTGGACTGACAATGCTTCGATCTAAACATGTGTAAGAAAAAACAATAAGCAGATAATGACATATAGCAGAATAAAAAATAGGAGGAAAAAAACAGCCACAAACTGAATAAATGATACATAAATACAGTGGAGTGAAAAACTATTTGCCCCCTTCCTGATTTCTTATTCTTTTGCATGTTTGTCACACAAAATGTTTCTGATCATCAAACACATTTAACCATTAGTCAAAGATCACACAAGTAAACACAAAATGCTGTTTTGAAATGATGGTTTTTATTATTTAGGAAGAGAACAAAATCCAAACCTACATTGCCCTGTGTGAAAAAGTAATTGCCCCCCCCCCCCCTTGTTAAAAAATAACCCAACTGTGGTGTTTCACACCTGAGTTCAATTTCTGTAGCCACCCCCAAGCCTGATTACTGCCACACCTGTTTCAATCAAGAAATCACTTAAATATGAGCTGCCTGACACAGATAAGTAGACCAAAAGCACCTCAAAAGCGAGACATCATGCCAAGATCCAAAGAAATTCAAGAACAAATGAGAACAAAAGTGATTGAGATCCATCAGTCTGGTAAAGGTTATAAAGCCATTTCTAAAGCTTTGGGACTCCAGCGAACCACAGTGAGAGCCATTATCCACAAATGGCAACAACAAGGAACAGTGGTGAACCTTCCCAGGAGTGGGCGGCCGACCAAAATTACCCCAAGAGCGCAGACACAACTCATCCGAGAGGTCACAAAAGACCCCAGGACGACTTCTAAAGAACTGCAGGCCTCACTTGCCTCAATTAAGGTCAGTGTTCACGACTCCACCATAAGAAAGAGACTGGGCAAAAATGGCCTGCATGGCCTGTTTTCCAAGATGCAAACCACTGTTAAGCAAAAAGAACATTAGGGCTCGTCTCAGTTTTGCTAAGAAACATCTCAATGATTGCCAAGACTTTTGGGAAAATACCTTGTGGACTGATGAGACAAAAGTTGAACTTTTTGGACGGCAAATGTCCCGTTACATCTGTTGTAGAAGTAACACAGCATTTCAGACAAAGAACATCATACCAACAGTAAAATATGGTGGTGGTAGTGTGATGGTCTGGGGTTGTTTTGCTGCTTCAGGAACTGGAAGGCTTGCTGTGATAAATGGAACCATGAATTCTACTGTCTACCAAAACATCCTGAAGGAGAATGTCCGGCCATCTGTTCGTCAACTAAAGCTGATGTGATCGTGCTGCAGCAGGACAATGACCCAAAACACACCAGCAAATCCACCTCTGAATGGCTGAAGAACAACAAAATGAAGACTTTGGAGTGGCCTTGTCAAAGTCCTGACCTGAATCCTATCGAGATGCTATGGCATGTCCCTAAAAAGGCAGTTCATGCTAGAAAACCCTCAAATAAAGCTGAATTTGTCACGTTGCAGGTTAGGAGGAGGTTAGGACCCAAGATGCAGGAAAACACCAGATGACACGAGGCAAGAGCAGTTTAAAAGTAAAATCCTTTTTATTAGGATGAGGAACCAAAAAAATTCAAAAGGGCAGGAAGCCAAAAACCATAGTCCTGAACACCAGGAGAACGAATGCTCACATGGAGCACAAACCAAGAGACGAGGCAAAAAAGCTTACATAGAGCACAAAACAACGCTGACACAAAACAATGGACCGACAAGACATTGAGACACAGACAGGGCTTTATACACTGGGGAGGATGAGAGGGAGATGACCTGCAGGTGTGTGGGGAGAGAAACCAGGTGAAAGCAATTAACTAATCAGGGAGGAAACTAACATGAGTAAAAACCTAAAGACAAGAAGAGCAGCAAACATAACTAATATTCTAAGGGTAAGGAAAACTACAAACACCAGTGGGAAAAACACACTAAAGAGACTAACAAAATGAAAAGCTGAAACTATAAAAACTGCGGAGGGGTGACTGGGGAAGACTGAAGGAACACAGGACCTGGGAGAGATGATCTGGAGGGCTGTAGATCTGGGAACACAGAAAGAGAAACTACAGGGGTGTGACTAAGGAGGACCACAGGGAGCACAGGACCTGGAGGGAGATACCTGGGGGGGAAGGAAACGTAGAGGGGCTGCAGCTCTGGGAACACATGAGGACGATGTAGACAATGACACAAGAGGGTGCTAGGATACACAACAGGAGAACCTAGAGACGAATGGAGAACACAAGGAGACACATGAGGGGAGACGCAGATGCAGACCATGACAGAATTACAACAATTCTGCAAAGATGAGTGGGCCAAAATTCCTCCAGAGTGCTGTAAAAGACTCGTAGCAAGTTATCGCAAACACTTGATTGCAGTTATTGCTGCTAAGGGAGGCCCAACCAGTTATTAGGTTCAGGGAGCAATTACTTTTTCACACAGGGCAATGTAGGTTTAGATTTTGTTCTCTCCCTAAATAATAAAAAAATAATTTCAAAACTGCATTTTGTGTTTACTTGTGTTATCTTTGACTAATGGTTAAATGTGTTTGATGATCAGAAACATTTTGTGTGACAAACATGCAAAAGAATAAGAAATCAGGAAGGGGGCAAATAGTTTTTCACACCACTGTAGCCTAAATTACTCTAATCTCACCCCTAATCTACATTACTCACTGTTTCCTCACAATATTGTGGCATAGTTTTATAACCCAGTAGTGTGTGAGTTTTTGCACATATACAGGAAGCAAGATGTGGTTAAAGTTTCTCTGTTATGATCCGTTTCTGCAATATTAGAAGGTTAAAACACACGCACTTCTTCTCACTTCCTCCTTTCACAGATCTTGATTTCAGTTACGCACAGAATCAGTTTAGTTGTAGTTTTGTGTACGATTTAGCCGCTGGAAAACTGGGACATGTTTTGAAATTATTCAAGATTTCATTGAACTTTTTTCTTTTGAGTTAGCTATTTCACCATTATATCATCCATCCATCCATCCATCACATAATCCTCACTAGGGTCATAGAAAGCTGGTGTCCAGCAAGAGACAAACAACCACTCACTCACTCACTCACTCACTCACTCACTCCAAGGGAGAATGTGGAGTCTCCAACAAACCTAACAAGCATGTAGAGAACATTCTAGCTCAAGGAAGAGCACACAGAAGAGGCAAAACTGCCCTTATCTGTGTGCCACCTTAATGTCACCTAATAGTTTATAATATTACATAGAATGTCACTTCCAGGAGCATTAGACCCAAGAATCCAGTCAGCACAGGAAATTGAGCAACTAACAAAGGTTTATTTAATGAAGGAAGGGTGAAATTGATTTGATTTAACATAGCCAACATGACTCCAGTTGACTTGATTTAGCTTTAATAATGACTTAATTCAACATAGCAAACAACTTGACTAGACACAAATTCAGCTCGACTTGATTTGATTTGATATGACTGGATCAGGTTGTGTCTGGTGTGGATGGAGGCAGTAGAGGATCTGGCATTGGAGCTGTGGCTGTAGGGAGCTTGAACCATGGGAACACAGGAGGAAACAATCTAGTAGTCTCAGGTCAACATGATTGGGTGAATAAGTGAGTCATCGAGGCACTTAAAGCCTGACAGAAACTTACTTCAAAATTAATTTTAACATAAATGTACCAGCTTGTTTTTAAACAAAAAATAAAATGTTGTATTACTTTTAACTAGCAAAAAAAGTCTGAACTTTATTAAAACAGATAGTTTTTCTGTGCATCCACCAGAGGTCAGAACTAACAGAAGTCAGATGAAGACAACATAAAAGTCAGACAACAATAAAAACATCAAATATAAAACATAAATAATATAAACATACCACCTAAAATGTATAAATAATATGAATATAAAATCTAAAACAGATAAACAACAAAATATCAATAGTAAGATGGCATTTTCTCAGTAAAACTGAAACGTCTGATTGTAAGTGAATGCAGCACAGCACACTCAATTGTTATTGGTTCTTGTAGCTGTCAATCAACGTGTTAAACTGTATCAGCCATTATACGATTGAATGAAAGCCAATGTATCATGCAGACAGCACAGCTGCTTTTATTTTGACACACAAAGGAAGTATTTCCGCTGCTCGCCTGCTCTTTGCTAACTACAGTACAGTGACTTGTGCTTAGCGTTGAATATTATAAATGAGTTGAGAGAAAAATTACATGCAAACACTTTCATTTTTAAATCTTGTATATTTGTCATCCACAGTGACCCATATGGTGGTATCCTCTAATCTACACGACATCCCAGGACAAGCGGTGTGTCCTCACTGCCAGAACACGGTCGTCACCAACACAGAGCACACTACAGGCCTCCTGACCTGGGCTATCTGTGGTGGACTCACGCTTTTTGGGTAAAAACTGGCTAAATATCGGGAAATAAAGAAATAGTATGTACACACTCGTATTTCACATTATACAAAATATATTTCCTTATTTCTATCTACAGATGTTGGCTTTGCTGCTGCATTCCTTTCTGCGTTGATTCCTGTAAAGATGTAGAGCATCGCTGTCCGAACTGTAACAGAGTCGTCTACCTCTACAAACGGATGTAAAGTACAAGTCCACGGTGAACTGAAGAGAAAAATGCTAGCATGAGCTGAAATTACGTTATTAGAAATCCTTCAACATACCTCAGAAAGTCTAAATTATTTGAAATGTAATCAGATGTAATGTGAGATATTAAATAAAACAATCAGATCAACCATTGTAACAAAGACGATAGTAATAATTAATAAAAGATCTTCTGCTGTCACACATTTTTATATGTTGCAGTAGTTTTTTTATATATTGCCTTTTAATTTGCACTTTTCTTTTTGTAATAGATTATTTTTTTTGTAAAGATCATGATTTTTCTGCCATGAATGACAAAAGTGTGTTGAATACACGAGGAGATGATATCTGATGGAGCTGTTTTCTCTGCAACATCTGGTAGACATTTAAAATGTGGGTGAATTACAAACACAATGGCTTTTCTGACACATGTTCTGTGGTCTCCAGTTTGAACAAATGCCTCATGAATCATTTTCAATGGAGAAAATAGATTTCAAAGTGCTACTACTAGTTTATAAATCCCTCAATGGTGCCAAAATACACATTGCATTTTCGTGACGTTTATACACCCAGCAAGCTTCTGAGATCCTTAGGAAGCAGTCAGCTGGTAGAACCCTGAATCAGAATCAAACTGGTTTAAGCGTCTTTTAGCTACCATGCTGCACACAGATGGAATCAGCTTCCTTATGACCTCAGATCTATGTTTATTTCTATGTGATGTATTCATTTGTTTTTGAGTCCAATGCTGCACCTTCAACACTGTAACAGTTTAGTTTTGTAACTTTTAAAAGTGGAGTGACCCATGCTGAGACGGGTTGGAGTGTCCCACTCCTGCAGCTGGAGCAGCGACAAGTGTGAAGTGACGCCGTGGACCTCTGCTCACATGTGAGTAAACGCTCTCACTGCTGCTTGAAGAGTGAAGCTCCATAGGGGCAGATCCTGTGGAGGATCTTTAATGGGCTGCTGCCACGGCCAAAAGTTCTGCCCAGTGTTTTGAGCCCCCAGGGTAAAGGCGCGTCAGAGGCCACTGCTGGGACTGCTGCAGGAATAGGGCGCCAGGGAGAGATAGCCAAATGTGTCAATAGAGGGCTCCTTCTGCGACCCCCTGTCAGGACCTGTTTGGAAGTGAAGTGCTACCTCAAGAGGAACCTTCCCTATGGTGCTTCATGATTAAGGACGTGGATGGTCTTGTGACTCGTTTGGACTTTTATTATCTTTTTGTTGTATGCATGCTAACTTTTAAAAGAAACTTTTCTTAATTTGTTTTAAATGGTGCAGTCTTAGAAACTGTTTTGCCACCATTTTCTGGATTATTGTGGGGATTTAAAAAAGACTAATTCTCACCAATCAACCCTCATGTCTCTGTTCTCTGGGTTCCATTATGCTCGTTCCACCCTGTGTCTAGGCCTCTCCGGTTTACAGCTCAGACCTTCCAGTCTGAGAGTAGTTTTGGTCACAAATATTTCAATTGCTGCTCTTGAACTGCATATTATTGGAAAAAAAATTTTTTTTAAATGTTTTTAGCTGAAAATGTTCAAATTCTTTTGCAGATCCTCTCAAACTGAATTCCACTGCTTCACCCTCTGAGTGGATCTACAGGGTGTTTTCAAAGTTGCCCTGTCCTTCCAAAACATCACTGATTTCTTCACTTTAAAAGGAACCCAGGTTACAAAACCTTGTGGTTCTTAAAAGATAAATGTTAGTATCATTTATATTAAAATGGTGTAAAAAACTTCTTAATGTCTTCATTTTTATAAAATTTGTAAAAATAATTTAACTCGTAGGTCAAATCAAATCAAATCAAAGATACTTTATTAATGCCAGAGGGAAATTAGAGTTTCAGTACACACAATTCAGAGATCAGACATACATTGGCAAGACACATGGCAAGAATTGGTGACTGTGGTGTTTCGCAACCCTGAGTCGCGCTACCTTAATAGAGATAAGAGGGTTACATGAGGATTGGTTCAGGTGGAGGGAAAAACGGCACTTCAGAGTTACCCTCCACCGGGAGGGCAGCTTTGCTCTGCAAAAAAACACCTCAAACAGATATGCAACAGACTTCAGACAACACAACATAAGTGTCCACTAGGTGGGGTGGTGGGTTGGGACTATCCCCACTTCAGTTCCTGTAGCCACGATAGAAGCAGGCAGCGCATGTCACCTCACTGTGGATGGGGGAGAAGCATTGAGGGTTGGAGGGTTGCAGTGACCCTGGAACGTTTCAGCGGCCTTCCTGCAGTCCCGCCCAGGCTGGGAAAGGAGACAGAGTTGAGATGCCATAGCGACGGCACATTCCACATATCTTCTGAGGGGGGAATTTTTGTTGGAGCCTTGCAGGCTCAAGGGCGCCAGATTCCGATTAGAAATTGTTTTGGGGCCAGACAGAGATAATTTCCTCTCTGTCTTACAGTTTGTTGGTCCTCAACCTCTCAAAATCCCAATAATGGACATTTATCTATCCCAATACGTGCATTGGTCGCCATTGTTGTTAGTGTCGCAATGCACTCTAGGTTGTGACGTCATTTGGTTGTACATCGGTTGCACTGGCCGGCTTTGGGACCCTGTAGTGACTGTTCAGCAACATAAACATGTCATCTCTAATTTCCCTCTGGGATTAATAAAGTATTGATTGATCTGTTCAGCCTTTTCAATTTGAACCAGAGTGAAACACTGAGGACATCACAGGGCGGGATGAAGCAAGAGCAGGACAAAACCGGTGGTGCGTGTGCGGCAAATGTGTCTCCATGGTAACTGAGAGGGAGAGTGTTTGTTGTCAAGAGCTCACATTTTTGTCGGCAAAAGTTAATGGTAAGCTACCGTGTGATCAATTTTTTTCAATTACCAATGGTTTGAGAATTTTTGCATCCAGAGCTGTCGTGTGCATAGGCGGAGATCCCGGGGGGACGGGGGGGGGGGGGGGGGGGACGCGTCCCCCTCTCACACAAAGTTGCCCCCCCCACAAAAGTTATTGTAAACACATAAATGCTATCAGTAAACCTGTGTTGTCTTCTAAAACCACAACGTAAAAGTTAGTCTGCAAATACAAAACAATGTGTTTTTAATTGTTGAGAAATTATAGTCCCCCCCCCCCCCCCCCCCCCCCAGTTCCTCCAGTTGGTACGGTTGGTACACACACGCTGTTTCCAATGGGTGGGGCTGCCGGCTCTGCCCTGCTCACAGCATCACAGCAGCCCACAGGCTCAAAGGAGGCGGGAATCAAAAAGCCAGCGGTTTCCAGCAGTAAGTCATTTATCACACGCTTGCTCTACAAACTTAAATATGTATGTCAAATGTGGTCATAAATGTCAAACATAGACACCGATTATCTTTAGATTTTGATCACCAGTCGGAGATCCCTTTATGACTGACCACCACCACCACAGTAAACAAAAAGTTGTCACTTCATGTTCTCTGGTCATTCCAGGATTATTCCGCTATTATTATTCCATTCACTAAGGTGACCAAAGGTTCCTTTTTCCGGACACGTACGCTTTCACGGTCTGCCCCTGGAATCTGTGGAGCATTTATAGATCGATGACAATGTCCGCTTTTCATCCTATTTAGCAGATGAATATGGTAGAATCAAAACTAACTGGTCCGATGCATGGAAAACCACAGCGTTTAACCGCTCTTATCACGTCTTCCCCAGGCTCTGCAGTTGTTTACAACATGTCAAAGTGCAGGTGCACCGTGCAGCTTAGGGATGAACTGGTTGCAGCAAATGTGTGGTGGAGGCACGTTGCTCAAAGCTCTCAGTGTACAACATAGAGCCAAAGATCCCGTTGGCCACACAGACCCAAAACACTATGAAAACTGAGAAAAGTGAGAGATCGATTAAACTGAAAGATAAACTATAGAGTATGTATATGTTTAGTGTATTTGTAAAGTAAATGTTTTTAATTTTTATTATTAAAATGAAACAAATATTTCAAGAATCTATTTTTAGATTTTGTGTACGTTTTCATTCAGTAGGACTTAGATAAAGTTATTAAATATTACAGAGTTATTCTCTAATAGCCTACAAACATTTCTATGTTTTATTAAAGAGATTTCAGTCATTTTGATACTTGACTTGTGAAAGCTGATTTGAAGGTTGTTATTTTTTCTAGCCATATTTAGAAGGAAAATTTCAAAAATATTAAAATAAATATGGAACTATTTGGATTTTAGTAGCTTTCATGTTATGTGATTAATAAAATTTTAATTTGACATTTTATGTTCTCTCTTTGTTGTGAAAAAGTTAGATATGTTTTAGTACTTAAAATTAATGCTTTGCATCCGTCCACACGTGTAGCTGTTGGTCAGCTAATGGTCACGATCTGCCCCTGCCCGACTGACTGTGTTCCTCTCCTGCCATGATTACCCTTATTGTTCTCACCTGTCCCTCGTTTACCTGCCCACATTTCCCTAATTAGCACTCTGTATTTATACCACCTGTTTTGCCCCTGTCCTTTGTCAGATCATTGTTGCTGTTTGCTGGTGTTCCTGTTCATCCCATCCTGCCATTAAACCATTTTTACTTTTACTGAAGCCTGCATTTTTCCTCCTGCTCAGCTCAACCACACATGGTCCGCCGTCTCCACCTCCTACACCGTGACACTAATAGCCATGTCATTTCAGGACATGTTGCTTCAACTATTAACAATCTACTTTTAAATCTTTATTCTGAATTGCTTATTCCGTTTTAGGCCACAGCCTTGTTATTAAAATGAAAACAAAAAGAAAGGATGCTTATGGAGATGTACAAAATTGGCAAGATATTATTGTTGATCAATATCCTCCAGCTCCGTTCTAATGACAACATCCCATCTGTGTGTGTGTTGCTGTCCAACTGTCAGCAGAGCAGGTCAGTTGAAATGGCAGAGAAACAAAAAACGGCAGACATCAGGTCGTTTTTTAATGCTCCAGAACGTCAAGTAAGTAGAAACTTGCATTTTGATAGACATCTATAAGAAAGAAATGAAATGCCTGTGAAATTGTTTCTAAATGGTTTCATTAGGCAAAGTCCAGTCACTTGAGCACAGGCAGCCAGAGCCTGTCAGACACAGGCACAGAGTCTCAGGTCAGTCTCTTATAAGGACATACAGTGTTGTATGTAGAGAGCATTTTTTTCACGCCACCCAAAAAATTACTCTCTGAAGTTTTACTGTTTATTGTCCCCCCAAAATTGAAATGGGATTTCCGCCCTTGATGCCAAACAAGC